TTTGTTTCTTTAAAGACAAAATTATGCTGCTCCATTTTCTCTCTCTTGTCCTCTGGTCTCTAATTACACACATAGCAGACCAGTTGATATTGGCAATGAGGTCGCCAAAACTTCATTTTTCCACAATATTTTTCCTCTGTTCTTAATTATATTATTTTTATGGATCTGTATGGAAGTTCACCCACCCTTTCTTCTGTAGTTTCTAATCTCCTGTTAAACCTATCCAGTGAGGTTTTCATTTCACTAACTGTTTTTATTTCTTTAAGAATTTCATTTGGTTCTTCTTTTAAACATATACTGTTTCCATTTTACTGCTGATATATTGAAATGCTGCTGATATTTCCCCATGTAGTCACTCAATATAGGTATTTTTCCTATAATTATTTGAATATATTTGCAATACCTCCTTTAAAATCCTTGTCAGCTAATTCTATTATCTGGGTCATTGCAGGATTTCTATTTATTGGTCATTCTCTTGGCCAAGGGTCACATTTTCCTGTTTTCTTTGCAAGTCTAGTAATCTTTTAATTGTATAATGAAAGTGTGGATTATATATTTTAGAGACAGAAAAATGCTGCTTTTGGATCTAGCAGGAGGTTGGGTGAATGGCTAATCATCGTTTTCTTGTAGCAGCTTCAGTCTACACATTTTTAGGGTAAGTCTGTTTTGGTTGTACATTATACTTAGAGCAAATCCGTAGTCCTGGGACACAGGCTGTACTCTTGAGGCATAACTCTTTTGGTTTTCACTGGAAAGCACAAGGTGTTTATCAAGCTCCTCTTAATTTATAAGATTCAAAATACAATCGTAGTCCCTCCTGTGACAGCAATTGAAATGTCTGTTTAACTTTTTCAGGTGTTCAGCTGTTGCTTTTTACCAGGCTTCTTTGAATCTCCCTTGAAAATGCACATTTCAGTGATCAAAGATTTGAGGCAAATTCTTATGCATATTTGGCATTTTGCCCCACAGCTCCTTCTTTCTGAGATTTCCATCTTTTCACTCCTTCTTCTAAAACCTCAAACCAACATAACCATGTATTCCATTTGGATTTTAGTCATCTCATACTGCATGGCTTGTTAAGTAACCACAGGTCTCATCAGTACCATTCAATTCTTTCAAGGACTGAAGAACTTCTTCTAGTATTTGCTTTCTTTTTGTCACTCTTCAGTGTGTGTGTTTTGTACAGATTTCTCACTGATGTCTGATAGAAGCTACTCCACTATTTCTGTAATTGCAACTTCATCTCACTAACTCTTGCTGGTTTTTCTGCATGGTTTTGTGGACCAATCATTAAGTCATGTATCTTGGTCTTCAAAATTTAAAAGCCTGAATTTTCAAATAAAAATAGTCTAACTATATAGATATGTTTATTTATGGGTTTGGACTCAGAGTTCTGATTGTTCAATCTCCAAGATGAGTACCTCAGTATTGAATTCATTCTTTTGCATATCTATATATAGGTATATAAGAGAGGGGGACCCAAAAACCTGGAATTTATTTATAAAAATTGTATATTTATTGTTATGTTTAAACTTCAGTTACCTTCAAAGTACTTTCCATATGATGCAGTACACCTATTGAGATTTTTTTTTCCCCCACTGCTCAAAATAGTTTTTGAACTCATCAATTTTGATGACTTTCAGTGTTTCTGCTGTTTTTTATTTCACCTCTTCCATATTGGCAAACCATTTCCCTTTGAGGACTTTTTTTCGTCCAGGGAAGCAAAAACCAAAAAATCACTCAGGGCAAAGTTGGATGAAACGGGAGGGTGGGGCATAGCGGTTATGCTACTTTGGATCAAAAACTGCTGAACACTCAACACAGTGTAGGCAGGTGCGCTCATAAATCACCCATGATAAAGTGGGCAAATGGATTGAATCTTCAAAAAAAAATTCACTGAAGCCAAACACAGCCTCTCACAACAATGCCAACTGGTACACTGATACAGATGAGTTCCTAGAACACTCACCTAGTCGGGGAAGCCTGTACTACAAGGGGCCCACCCTCTGGAAGATAATTCCCTTTTTTGGGTTCCCCTCATATTGACAATTTTATCTTAATTCATTTTTTTTCTGAAAACGACTCTTGATTTTCTTTACACGATTAAGAAATTTTCACCTCAGCACTTTTTAGGATTAGAGTCCTCCTGGTCAGGATTTTTTTGAACTGTTCCATGATTATTCCAAGTCTTGACTGGAAGCTGTAGCTGGAAGGAAAAAATGGCAGATTCCAGGGGCTACTTGTTGTCCTCAAATGAGTACTGATCCTGGAGTCAAAAACCAAACCTATTGCCTGCTTCGGGGGAATTTTTAGAGTAGTTGCAAACCTAGGATCTTTATCTTGAGAGAAGTTAAGCAGCTAATAAACAAAACCTATTTATAAACAGTGTATTTCTCCATTATTAAAAAAAATACCGTGTTTACTTCATTTCATTTGCACTATAAAGAGTGCTGCACTAAGGAATAGAAGTGTTCTCTGATCCCTCCCTTTCAGCCATGATAATTAAGCAAGACTTATTCTTACCCATTAGTATTTGTATATTTATCTCACTATATCTCCCTGCAAACACTAGAGATTCTTCAAGTTTCATTCTTTATGCTACATTATCCAGACAGCCTTTGGTGAGGACACTGAAAACGATTTGAAGTCCCACTAGAATGTAATACTTTCAGTAAAGGATCATTTCTTGTTATCAAAACATTAATAGCTAAGAGAATAGCCCTTCAAGTGAGATAAATCTAAACTTCAGGTCCAAAATCTGCCACTCCCTGTGCAATCTTTGGATTTTCTACAATTTTCTCTAAGTTGTAGATAAATAGAGATAAAAATAGTCCCTACCTCATTCAGTTATTGTGAGGATCAGATATGGTAAGGCATACAAAAGATTGTGACAGTCTCTGCTGTACTGTTATTATTATTATCATCATTGTTGTTATTTCCCTCCAAAGTAAATGCCCAATAAACAATTGCCAAAATGGGGGACTGGGTGAAAAAGGTGAAAGGATTAAGAAATACAAATTGGTAGTTACAAAATAGTCATGGGGATGTAAAGTACAGCATAGGAAATATAGTCATGATAATGTAATTACTAAGTATGGTGCCAGGTGGGTACTTAAAATATTTGTGGGATCACTTTGTAAATCATATGATTGTCTAATCACTATGTTTTACACCTGAAATTAATATAAAATAACACTGAGTGTCAACCATAATTGAAAAATAAAATTTTAACAAGAGCAGAACTGAGTTTTATAAAGATTTGCAAAGCTGACAGAGATAATACTTAAAAGAACTGTGATTCAAACCCAGGCCTCCTGACAATGATGCCCATGTGTTCAACCGTTACACCATATGGATGTCTGGTTCTAATATGCCACTTTTAATTTAAGTAATTAATAAAATGAAAGTATTGTCTTAAAACAAAAACAATTGCCTATACAAGCACTTGTTGAATTAAATAAGTGCTATTTTGATGGAAGAGAAAAACACGCAAATTACAAAAACAAGTTAGAAGGAAAAGTAGTAATTGTAAATTATAATAAACACGATGAGTAAAAGAGCTAAGAAAGAGAATCAGTGAGGAACCTGGTTTAGATAGGGAAGGCCTCTTGAAATAGATGACATGTAAGGTGAATCTTAAGAGATGAGAAGGAGCCAGTTACACAAAAAATGGGGAGAACAGCATTCCAGGCAGAGGAATAGCATGTACAAAGCTCCTGAGGCAGACATGCATGTGAACCTTCTATGGACCAGAAGACCACCAGTGTGCTGGGACAGAATAAATAAGGGCAGAGTGGCACCAGGTGCCCTCAGATGTAGCAGAGGCCAAACACAAAGGGCCTTATCGACTAGAGGATGAAGTTTGGCTTTTGATCTAAGTGCAAAGGGAAGACATTGAAAGGTTTTAAGCTAAAGAATGGCAAGATCTTCATATTTACTAAATCCATGACTTGCAAAAACAATTTGAAGGAGGATAAGAATATCTGAAAATATTTGGAGCTTGTTGAGATAAACTAAGAGTATGCATGTAGAATAAAATATTTTCTATTATGATTGAAGTTATTGATTGCCAAGAACCTAAAAATCCTTTTGGGACACTTAATAAAGATTTCATTCACTTAGCTCTCTTTCACATGTCATGAATATGTAAGGAATACTGTGACCCACTTAAAACAGAAGAAGACAAGTTATGAGCTAGGGAGAAAAGGTTAGAGTAACTGAGAAAGATGGCCAGAGTTGACAGCTATGAGGGCACATATGAGAGCAAATATCTAAGCTATGAAGACCACATTAGATGAGAGATGATTTGGAAGATGCTATGGTATAGATTTCTTACAAAAAGGAAAGGCAGGATTCCAGTATAAAATTGTGAGATGTTGTAAGATGTTTGACATTCCAGCACAAATGCCATAAGGAAACTTAGAGAAAATGTAAATTTATATAGCAGATAATTACCTTTACAAGTCAATCTCCCTTTGGGGTAATATATCTTTGCCATTGCAAGCTTATTCCTGGAATGCTAGGGTTTATTCTCTGTTGAGGCTGCTTCATTCTCTTCATATTTTTTTTTAAACTTGCTTCATATTAGTGACTCTCTTGGCACTAATTAAGACCACTGCCATTAATATAATGAAGTGTTTCTATTTTCACATGATATATTGAGTAATCCTCAATATTTCCTCTCTTAAGGAAATTTATTCCTAAGCAAAAGCTTATGGGGAAATGGTGACATGTTCAGATTTCCATTACCTGCTCACTGATGACAGATTGATTTAAGAGAGTACATAATAGTTGAGCTTTCCCAAATGTGTCAGTGTTGTTGTTGTTTTTAAATTGTATTACTAAGAGATAGTATGTGTCATAAGAACAACTCTGGAGTTAGTCTCAACTTTTTTCCTGGAGGCTGAAGAATAGCTTATTAAGTGTCAGCTATAAACTTCATGACAAAAACTTTCATTTCACAGCAGCTGATAATAAGAGCAAAAACAGTGAATACCTACTGTTGCCAGGTAACTGCATCCACTGTGCTTCCTGCCACCTTCATGAATCTGTAAGGAAAACAAAGAGCAAAGATATTGCAGCTTGAAGTAAACCATGTCCCCAGGGTTAATATGAAGGAAGGTAAGAGGCACAGATCAGACCCATCCCTGGGCAGCTGTGCTTTCAGAGAGGGTCCACAGCCACAAACGTGGCCAACCCACAGCTATTAGAAGTGAAACTGTACAGAAGGTGAAAGTAACTATACTTTCAGCTCTCCACATATCCTTCACTACCTGGAACTAAGACCCAAGAGGACATTCTACCTATGTCTGTCTGTCTTAAACCCATGCCTGATTGTTCCCAAATTGCTTCCCCTATGATCAAAACTTATCTGTTCCATTTTGTGTTCTCTAAGGACACTGAGATCTAAGAGAAAACAAATAAAGGATAACATTTCCCAAGGATGGCAGTACAACAGATGCCTTTGAAAAAATCTCAAACCTCTCTTTTGAAGAGAGCCTGGGAAAACCCGATTTACTTATACAAATATAAAGCACTATCAGACATATCTCAGTGATGGGCTGTTATACCAGTCTGATTATAGAAACCGGAGCACCATACAGAGAAATCTAACCATTTCTGGAGAAGCTAAGTAGAGAAGTGAGTGTCACCTGAAAAGCATGCTCAGCTAAAAGGGAAATCAGACCTGTTTGTCTGCAAAGCACACATTAAAGTCTTGTTAGAAATTCCCCACCTTCCTGTGCTTTTGGAGGTTCCACCAGAACCACAAGGCCAGGAGGAAGCATCTGAGGCCTCCCAGATGCCACAGGGTATCGTAAGTTTAAGTCTGAGAGTAACTCTTACCTACCTGCCTCTTTCTCCCCATCCACATGTCCTGAGAATGTGTGCTGACATGGCTATGGTTATTATTTGAGAGAATTACCACCCAGACACAGGAAATCCAAAGGAACATCTCAGTTCGTTAAAATACTCCTTTCAACCCTGAGGCCCTGAAGGAGAACTTCCCTTCAGATAGAAACAATCTTCACTCAGTACTTCATAATTAAAGAATTCTTCCACTAGGAAGGGAGGTGGTATTTTACCAGGAAGGCCCTATCCCTGCGGTACCCCAGCATAACCTTGCCAGGTGAACACGTGCTGTTGGGGGGAGAAAGGGAAGGAAGAGGAAGAGAGGAAAGAGGAGCAGGAGGAGGAGGAGAAAAGGCTTATGTATTCTCTTTTCCACCCTGCCATGTGCTACCTCTGAGTCAATAAGCATGCAATCAGCTACATGCTTGAATAGAAAAGAGAAAAATGGAAAAATACAGGGAGATTAAACACAGATTAGCATCCAAAATACTACTCCTGCCAAAGATATAGGCTAAGCGATGGAGGCCCGATAATAATCTTACAAGTAATATCAACCAAAAATAAAGAGGGGGAGATGGAATTGTGCATTCCTCCTCAGGATATATTTTTTTTAATCCTTACTTGAGAACATGTTTATTGATTTTAGACAGGAAGGGGGAAAGAGAGAGAGAAAGGGAGAACAAGAGAAGAGAAGAAGAGAAAGGAGAAGAGAAAAGAGGAGGAGGGAGAGAAACATTATCAGTTGTTTCCTGTAAGTGCCCCAACCGGGGTTCGAACCTGCAACCTAGGTATGTGCCCTGACCGAGAATTGCACAGGCAACATTTTGGTATACAGCATGATGTTCCAACCAACTGAGCAACCTGTCCAGGGCACCTGCAGGGCATTTTAAAATTATAAAACCTAGACAAACTTAGATACAGGTATCATTTTTTAAAAAAGAAATAAAATACTTAAAATATATTTACATGTGCTTTACTCCTCCAAAATAATTTCTAATATTTCTGAAACAAAAATACTTTTTTATATAGAACTATCTCCAGTTACATATAAAAATAACCATAATGAAAATAACACTGACATTTATAGTGCTTTCTCATTTTAAAAAATTGTTCAGTTTTTTATGTGTATAATTTCACATAACCCTGAAAATAAACCTGGTTGGCAGATATTCCTAATTTATAGTGGAGGAGGCTAAGTTTTAGAATTATATGGCTTTCTCAAATTCATAGAGCTAGTACAGCGTTAACCCAGGTTCTCTGATTCCAAAGCCTACTCTCCTTCTCGGGTCCTATACTCCATCCAAGCTGTTTTCACTGAGGCCAAGAAGGACAGTACAACTCTTAGATGCAAAAAATAAGTTGAATTTTTGCCTTGAGAAAATACTGTCATATTTATCAGGAAAAGCAAAAAGGCCTGAGCCCCTTCTTTGCTTGTTGGCTTCCTCTCACAGACTTGAGCGTTTCTGTACCTATTTGTAAGACAAGGCACTAAAGCAGGTATCAAAAGATGACTGACTTAGGGTCTCTGCTATAAGACAATCACAATAAAGCCAACAAAACAGACACCTAGACAATTAGCTATCAGAGTCTCCATGTGCACACTACTGGTACAAACTAAATGCTGTGGGAGAGCAGTCAGCTCTACCTTCTATGGTGTTAGAAGAAGGATAAGCATTAAGAAAAGCTTCTCATTGCACATGACATTCCATCTGGCTTTGAAAGAAGGGTAGGATTTAGCCATGAAAAGCAGACAGGGCATAGAAACAGTTTGAGCAAAGCAAGGAAGACTCAGGGTAAGTGTATTCTCAGGAGTCCACTGCGGCTGGATATCAGGGGACAGGTAAGGGAGTGGCAGGTCAGACCACCCTGTGATGCTAACATGTCTGGTTTTTATCCTGTAACAACAAAGTACAAGTCCATGTCCTATTTATTTCTGTATGACTAGCACTCAGTCTATTACTTATAGAATATAGCTAGCTTGTCCCTCATGTGTAGTTCTTGGATTTATCCTGTGTTTAAACAAGAGAGTGTCATGATCAGATTTGAGTTTTAGGAAGCTCACTCTGTCTATGGTAAAGGTGAAAGGTACTGGTGTGGGCAAACTGGCAGGAGATGAAATGTAGAAGTTGTGAGACTGAAACCTACTAATGAAAAAAGACACAATTGAGAAACACTGTTGGAGCACTCAATAGGATTTATCAGGTGTGTTTAAGTGGGGGAGAATGTGTAAGAAAGGACCGTGAAGTTTTTAAAAACATTTAAAAAAATTTTTCAATTACAGTTTACATTCAGTATGGTTTTATATTAGTTTCAGGTGTACAGCATAGTAGTTTAACAATCATATTCTTTATAAAATGTTCTCCCAATATTGCCAGTACTGGTATTGTAAATAGTTATAACAGCATTATTAACTAGACTATATTCCCTATGCTCTACTTTACATCCTTGTGACTATTTTGTAACTACAAATTTATACTTCTTAATCCCTTACCTTTTTCACCAAGTCCCCCAACCGCTCTACCCTCTGGCAACCAGACCCTGAAGTTTTAATTGAAGTAATGCCACTGCCCATATGGGCAATCCAGGAACAGACTTTTGAAGCTGATGTTGATGAATATATTCTAATATTCCTGAATATGCTGCAAAGAACTTGAAGTAAATAGTTATTGATGATAAGTTATGCATTCACAGAAAATTAGGAGGAAAGCATAATCAACAATGCTTTGTTTGGCTAAAAGGTTCTGGGCAGGCAATTAAGAATTAAGAAACATCTAACTTGGCATTTTATTTTATTTTTTAAAGGTTTTATTTATTTATTTTTAGAGAGAGAGGAAGGGAAGGAGAAAGAGAGGGACAAAAACAGTGATGTGCGAGATACATTGATTGGTTGCCTCTCACACGTCCCCAGCTGGGGAACTGGCCTACCTCCCAGGAATGCATCTGGCAACTTTTTGGTCCACAAGCCAGTGCTCAGTCCACTAAGCCACACTAGCCAGGGCTAATTTGGCATTTTAGAAGTTGGAAAATGGTTCTTCATGGTACTATAATCTGAAGATCCTCATATGCATTGGATAGTTTGTTCTGCTATAGGTTGATAATTAAGTTCTTAAATAATCTTTCATTTTCAAATGTAGCATTATAAAAAGAATGGGAAAACTTGGAATCTTATAAACAAAATGAACTAACAAACAGAATAGAGACAGACTCATAGGTAGAGAGCAGGCTCCCAGCTGCTGAGGGTGGGGGACAGTTGAAGGGTGAGAGGGTAGAGGGATTGAGCAAAAAAGCAAAAAGAGGAAAAATTCATGGACACAGACAACAGTGTGGTGATTGCTGGCCAGACATGGGAGAGAGTACAGGGAGGGTAAATGTTGATGGAAGCAAACTTGACTTTGGGTGGAGATGGTGTGTTGTGGAACTGTACACCTGAAACCTGTATAATTTTGTTAACCAGTGTCACCCCAATAAACTCAATAAAAAGGAAAAAAAGAATGAAAAAACTAGAGTGAAGGAACCTAGTTTTAAGAGTACTGCTAATGTTTTCTCACCAAACCAGTGCCCCACACCCCTCAAAGAAAATATATAATGTCTATAACTAAAAATAAAATTTAGTGGACCCATATATAGAATATTATATAGTTTAAAGAAAAATACTTTAAAATTGAAATGATCCCAGACAGGAAAAATCAATTATTCTTCTTTAATTTTTGGATTTAATAAAATTCTAATTAAAAAATCTCAGCAGATATTTTTGAAACTTTATAAAATCATTTCAACATTCATCTGATGAAGCCAAGAAAATTCTGAAAAACTGGAATAATGAACATTTATTTAATCTATCATCTATTAAAATATACCATAAAAGTTGCAATGATTACAACATTTCTAGCTCAGAAATCAGAAAGGAGATCTATGGAACAAAAAAAAAATTATATTTATGTATAAGAATTTATTACAAGAAAAAAATTAGTATATGAAAAGCCAAGCCATTTTTTAATGTGGATTTCTGGCTATTTGAAAAACAAATTAAAGTCAGATCCTCACCTAAGATCTTATTTTGTATAAGAAATCAAAATAGTAAAATATAGTTTTATTACATTTAAAAAAGTACTTCAATCACAACTTAATATTTTTAAACAAATGATATTATCTTCTTAACTTTAGTAGTATATTGAAGAAGTAGAAAAACTATTTTCGC